TATAATTAACATATTAAATTGATCATAATTTAATCCTCCGACTATTTAAAATTGATCCTAATTTATTCTCAAAGGGACTAGACTGGATCAATTTTGTATAGTCAAGAGAATAAATTGACACAGTGTTATATTTTGGGACTAAGTTTGCTGCATATGAATAGTCGGGTGACTATTTTAAAATTTTAAGATAAATCCCTCTCTATTAGTGCAAATATTCTAGCATAGAACTCATAGTATTTTACATCCTGAGCTAAATTAATCGAAATACTATACATAATCTTTTAACAGGATACAATGGAGAAAAATGATTCATGTAGCCAACTTCACATACGTAGTGGGATAAAACTTGATGATGATGATGTTGTTGTTGTTGATGTATGATACATCACCATTTAACACACCAAAACATGTCTTCCATTAACATAACAAGAGAAAAAACAATACTGAAACATATTTACCATACTTCACAATACAATCCCATCAAACATTAATTAGAAATGGTAAGTGAAGAGAAAGAAGACAAGAACAAGACAAGGCTTAAAGAAACATAAAGTGAATATCATATCATTACAGATATACAGTACAATATTTATAGCCGAAAGTAAAGGCTTTAGTTCTTGAGATCCAATGATAAAATGACACCTAAGCTTCTAATTAATAAATACAAATATTTATTTATCTTGATATTCTAATACGCCCCTGCAAACTGATGGGTCTTGAGAGACAGTCAGTTTGGATCTGAGCAATAGAAAGCGTGGAGTAGATAATGCTTTGGTGAAGATATCAGCAGTTTGATCAATTGTATTTATAGGTAGAAGCCGAACATGATTCTGGTGTATATGATCCCTAATGAACTTTTGATCAATCTCAATGTGCTTCGTACGAGCATGAAACACCGGATTGTTGGCTAATGCAATGGCAGAAGTATTGTCGCAGAACATATCGGTTGGATTGGATTGTGGAAGACCGAAATCTGATAGTAAGCGTCTGAGCCAGATAATATCCGCTGTTAGAGATGCTAACGCTCGGTATTCAGATTCAGTCGAAGATCGAGCAACGGTTTGTTGCTTTTTCACCGTCCATGATATAAGATTGTCACCGAGAAATGAGCAAAATCCAGATGTTGATTTGCGAGAGTTGGGATCACCAGCCCAATCAGCATCTGAAAAAGATTTAAGCACTAAGTCAGTTTTGTGAATTGGAATTCCAAAATCAAGTGTACCTTTGATATAGCGAAGGAGCTTCTTGAGCATGAAGACATGCTGCTGTTGAGGAGCATGCATGTGTTGAGAAAGCTGATTTACGCTAAAAGCTATGTCCGGTCTAGTAAGAGTTAAGTACTGAAGAGAACCTGTAATGCGACGGTATAAAGAGGAGTCTAAAAGTTTAGAGTCTGTTACCATCTTTTCCGGAAATTTTGTGCAAGTTGGGTTGACAACAGGATTACAGTTGAGAAGATCAGCTTGCTGTAAAATAGAGGTTGCATATTGACGTTGGGAAAGAAAATAGAACTGAGTATGGTGATCAATTTTAATCCCAAGAAAATCATGGACCGGCCCAAGATGTTTCATCGAAAATTTTTGATCAAGTTGAGCTAGGACATTGTCTATTGCCCGTGGACATGATCCAGTTATGAGGATGTCATCCACATACACTAGGAGATATATGTGATAGCTTTGATGACGAAGTATGAATAAAGATTGATCTGCCGAACTAGAGAGAAAACCAATGGAGATTAAAAAATCAGTAAACGTATTATACCATTGGCGCGGGGCTTGTTTCAGTCCATAAATTGCTTTGTGAAGTTGACAAACGTGAGTGGGATGTTCTGTATCCTCAAAACCTCGAGGTTGAGCCATAAAAACTTCTTCGGAGAGCTGACCATGAAGGAATGCATTCGCGACGTCCAATTGATGTACCTGCCAATTTTTAGAAATAGCAAGAGCAAGCATAATTCGAATAGTAGGAAGTTTGGCTACCGGACTAAACGTCTCAGTGTAGTTCAGACCGTATTCTTGTCTATTTCCTTGGGCCACTAGTCTGGCTTTGTATTTTGCAATCGATCCGTCACTATTGAATTTTGTCCTATACGTCCATCGACATCCGAGAATTTGATTTGTAGATTTATTGGGTACTAAACTCCAAGTGCCCTGTTGTTGTAAAGCCAGGAATTCACTTGCCATTGCGTCACGCCATTGAGGATACTTGGCTGCTTCAGTGTAACATGTGGGTGCCGTAGGTGGATCGGGATTCTGAGAGTGGTATAAGTTCAGGCGATCAACAGGTTTCAGAGAGCCAGTACGAGCTCGGGTGATCATATGATGTTTCGGAAGAGTGGGAATGCCAGGACTTGAACCGTGGCTGGTGCTTGCTAACGGTATAGAAGAATCGCTGTACTGGTGAGACAAATCTGGAGCATTTGATGTAGTAGTTCTTTGACTGTTAATGTAATTGGTCTTAATTATGGGCACCAGGTGTGGATTCGTTGGTACAAGTAGTCTAGGCGGTGTTGTAGTAGAACTGATTTGATCTATGTTTTGATCGCTGTCTGGGGAAATTTGAAATGGAAACAAATCTTCCTGAAAAGTACAATGTCGAGAGTAAGTAATTTTATTAGTAATGATATCAAGACATTTATACCCTTTATATGATTCAGAATAACCGAGCAAAACACAGGTATTAGCTTTATTTTGCAATTTATGACGATTGTGAGAGGGAGAAAGAGGATAGCAGGCGCATCCAAACGTCCGGAGATGAGCATATTCAGGTTGTCGTTTATGCAGCAGTTCGAACGGAGATTTATTGTTAGTGTTATTGGAGGGCATCAGGTTTATCAGATAAACAGATGTAAGAGATGCTTCCGGCCAATGCTTATACGGAACCGAGGCTTTGTTAAGAAGCGTCCTTGTTGTTTCAATAATATGTCTATGCTTGCGCTCCGCTACCCCGTTTTGTTCCGGCGTATATGGACATGAAACCTGATGACTGATACCCTGACTAACAAGAAACTGAGAGAATTGATTATTTATAAATTCCTTACCACCATCAGTACGTAAAATTTTAATAGAATGAGACGTAAACTTTTCAATTTGATTCTTGAAGTTAACAAAAGTAGAAAAAACTTCAGATTTATGATGGAGGGGAAAAATCCACGTAAACCTGGTGTGGTCGTCGACAAATATGACATAATACCTGTAACCTTGAACAGATTCAACCGGGGCAGGACCCCACACATCAGAATGAATTAAAGACAATACAGTATTATGTCTGTTATGAGATTTAGAAAAGACTAGCTTATGTCCTTTGGACAATTTGCAAGAGGTACAAGCATCAGGTTTAGTAAAAAAATGTAAACTAGGATTACATTTTGCTATAGTAATAAGAATTTGATCATGTGGGTGACCAAGGCGGTCATGCCAGGGAATGGTCCGGTGATTCTGAGTAATAAGAGCTTTCGGCAGAGGAGAATCTTGAGGATTGTGAACAGGATATAGTCCCTTTTCACACGGTCCTTGGAAGAGAACCTGATGTGTCTTCAAATCCTTGAAATAGAAACCATTAGGATCAAAAGTTATGGCAATATTATTGTCTTTGGTGAGTTTAGATATAGATAATAAATTGAATTTCAAAGACGGTGTATGAAAGATTTGAGATAGAGTAAGCTTACGAGAGGGAGTCGGTAACAGGCCTGTACCAGTATTGGCAATGTTAACCGATCTCCCGTCACCGACTGTAATGGTGTCCGATCCTTGATATGATGATGCAGTTGTCATAGCGTCAAGAGAATTTGTGAGGTGAGATGTCGAACCGGAGTCTAAGTACCAATTTGTAGACTGATTGTCGTTGTGAGTGACAAGCGCCGTGTTATTAGTCGGAGCAGATTGATTGACATATGTGGGATCCAGGCGATGCCAACAGGAGGAAGCTGCGTGGCCTTTCTTGGAACAAATTTGGCAGATGACATTAGAGTTCGGGTTTGCCTGCGATCTTGAGGCGGTGTTCTGGTAGTTCCTGTTACGAGATCGCCGGCCTCTTCCCCTTGGCACAAATAAGGCAGTCTGTGGATCTGGTATAGAAGCGGAACGAGCGTTGTCTGACGCCATATTGATTTCTTCACTGAGTAAAAGCGGGTACAATTGATCAAGATTTATCGGTGTAAGCATGGTCCGAATAGCTGTCTTGAAAGACTGGTAGGAAGGTGGAAGTCCATTGAGGATGTAAAGAATGACATCCTCGCTATCAACAGAGGAACCCGACGCAGTAATCTGATCGACGAGGGACTTGATTTCCGTCAGATACTGTGTAATCGTCTGATTTTTGAGGGAAATATTGTGAAGGGAGTTTTTCAATTGGATTACTTTAGAACGATTAGATGATTGAAATCTGGTTTCTAAGGTAGACCAAATTTCAGCAGTGGAAGTTAGATTAACCACATAAGGAAGAATAGATGTGGAAATTGTTGAGCAAAGAGCAGCGGCAAGATTTTGATCCGTTAGAATCCATTGAGGGGATTGGGAAGGGGTAGTAGAGATCTGATTTTCACCGTTTTGAGAAAGATCGTTCGGTGAAGAAGATAAAAAAGGTTCAAGAAATTTTTCAAACCTATTTGCCCTGAAGATTTTGGCGATTTGAGCTCGCCAAATCGGGTAGTTGTCGGTTTGGAGTTGAAGATGAACAAGAGTGCGCAGATTCGAAACAACGAACTTGAGAGTCGGCGGGATGAGAAGATCGGAAGAGTCATCGCCGTCCAGTTGCTCGCCAGGATTTGAGTTTTCGGAACTCATGCTGAACAGAGGTATTAGGCCTCTGATACCATGAAGAGAAAGAAGACAAGAACAAGACAAGGCTTAAAGAAACATAAAGTGAATATCATATCATTACAGATATACAGTACAATATTTATAGCCGAAAGTAAAGGCTTTAGTTCTTGAGATCCAATGATAAAATGACACCTAAGCTTCTAATTAATAAATACAAATATTTATTTATCTTGATATTCTAATAGTAAGCATTATTACAAAGCTAGATTAAGAAGCCAAGAGCTGGCTGATTCCCATCCACCTTACAAACATAAGTGAAAACGTAGACAAACATGATACAGAGAGTTGAAAACACACAAATCACACAGTACGTACAATCACATAATTTATTTTCCTTCATATAGGATGAGAATTCAAGCTGAGCAGTTCATTCAATTGCCACAGTTGCAGTCAATACAGGCGCAGTTGGTACCGCACTTGCACTTTCCATTGTGCTCAGCTGCTGCAGAGAACTCCATAGCTTCTGTTTCATAGCTGCAATCAAAACCATACATAACTGTGCTGAAAACATGGCCTTAAGTACAAAAAACTTCAGCAATCAATTAAATTTTTAGCTCAGTTATATTCAAATCAATGCTTTAGAAGGCATTAGCTCTTGGGCGCATAAGGCTCGTCTTCTATGCTATGTTAGCAGGTTGATAGCCATTGCATCTATCTTTTGATGTCCACTTGCTTTATCACAAGTTCCCTCACAGATATGCCACTTGCCTTTATGGAATCTGTGCACTAATTGATTGCTCTTACTACAGGAAAATGACTTGTTACTGGCAAACGAAATCCACCGGTAACAAGGGAAATCCACCGGAAAATTTGTTTTTCTGGCGGATTTTTATATGACAGTAATTCGCGCATTGGAAAGTCGTTACCGGTGAAATTTATCCGCCGGAAATAATTCCGGCGGATTTTCCAGCGCAATTTCTACGAAAAAAATAAAAGTTGTCCGTTGTTTTATTTGGACGGATATCGACGTTTAATCTGCCAGTGGAAATGTTGTGCCGGAACCCTATTCCGCTGGACTATTAGTGACGGATAAAACTAGCTTATTCTCCATCGGAAATACTGGTGTAATGTATTCACCGCTTCTTCCAGCGCATGAAAATCAGCCATAAAGTTCAACAGTAATAGCAAATTTTTCTGTTGTGTCTCATATTATTTTATTTTGATGTCTCATTTCATTTAATTTTGTATTTTTTTATTAACTAAACTTTAAAGTTAGAATATGAATTATATGATTATAATCTTTTTAATTTAAATATGTATATATATCATCCAAAAGTTGAAATTTGAAGTCAGTTACCTCTCAGTGTCAACAATCACAACTCCATATTGATTAGCCTTCTTCCTGCAATAACAATCATAACATACCAAAACATCAAAACATACATACAAATTACATATAACATAACAACAAAATAATCATTTAGATAGCACAATTTCTACTCCATCATAGTTCTATCAAATCCTATCACTGCTTCAACTACTCAAAACGCAGTGAAAAAAAGATTCCATGCAAGCTGCTTGGAGAAATTCTCATCTGATCTCTGCTTACACACACTGGCTCTTATCTGCACAGTCGCAGTTACCACAGGTTGAAGACATGATTGAGATTAGCAAAGTACTTAAGCTTGCAATTAGTGCTAAATGGCTAACTAAAGCTTGGTTTGTGTTCTCCTGAAGCCTTTTTTTGCTGCTATTTATAGGATTTCAGTCGCTGCAAAGTTCTGATCACACACGCTAGCTTCTTGGGTTTCTTATGAACACACGCTTCTAAGAACCATACAGAGGAGAATTGACAGTGGTAGGGACACAGCATGGCTTGTTAGGAACCTCTTGAGTCTTATCTATCTTCTTGCTTTGCATGTAGATCACATAAATGTTATATTTATATTGGTATTTAATATTTATACTATTTTACTTTATGGGTGGTATTGATTTTGTTTGCATTTTGGGATTTATTGATGATCACTTGATATAGAGGAAGAGTTTTGACATAGTGAAATTTGAGTTGCGTGGATGTAGAAGGATTGATTTTGAATTTTGTATAGTATGTTATTTATGAAATTTTGTGTGATTTTCGCTGCAGGAAAATAGTTCATTACCGACGGATTTTTCTGGCGGAATATTTTCCGTCTGAGTTTCCAGCGGATTTCCGACAAATTGAATGAAATATTTCTAGCATATTTTTCCAGCGGCTTTTCCGGCGGAGTTTTCGGCAAATTTATTATTTTTTAAAATTATACAAGCGGACAAATTTCGCAGGAAAATTTTTCAGGTATATTTTCTCCTTCGAAAAAATTTTCCGACGTTCATTTTACTATTGAAAATTTTTCCACCGGAAACTTTCCAATCCACTAGAAAATGAACAAATTTCCGCTAAAAAATCAGCCTATAATATGTGGTTTTCCTGTAGTGATCTCTTTGATTTTGTTCATAATATTATATATACATATTTTAAATTTTAAATTTATTTTTACAAAATAGTAAACACAACAGGAAAATCAATGATCACCAGCAAAAATTTCGGCCGACCACCAGGAATTTAAATTTAAATTATTAAGAAAAAAAAATAAAAATATAATTTTATACATATTCAATTGATTAATGATTATATTATGTCAATAATTACTATTGATTAATTTATAATTTTTATATTATCATCTAATGATTATGACGAATACCAAAATAAAAAAAATTTGGTAGATATTTCTCTATAGGATATTAATTAAGTTATATAATTTAATAAATATTATATATTTAGGAGAAATCTAGTTTATTCATATATTAAATAATTAATTATGTAATAGATCAATTAAACTTAATGTCTATTAAAAATGTGCATATAAATCACATGTCTAAGAGTACACATATTTTATGTATTGTACATAGTCCATACAAAAATACAGGCCCATCTATTTGTGGGCTGGAAGCCCAACTAATCCTGGCCCATTAATTGCCCACCAAATATATGTTTTTTTGCTAGTTATTAATTTTTTTATTAAAAAAATTTATGAAAAAGGAAAAAACTTGTGGTAGATGCAAAAAAATATAAGGATTAGCTTTAAAGCCATCCAATTTTACATTAAATTAGTGTAATTTAGGATAGTATATACAACACTAATCTCAATGCAGATCAATTGACTTTAAAACACATTATACTGTATTTTGTATTAGAATATCCTAATAATTTTTTCCTTTAAAAATACTAAATGAGTTTTTTTAATTTGATTTATTAAAACTCTATTAATTTTAAATTATGAATTTAATCCAATATGACATTTATAATATAAAAGAATTTGTGTACTTAACACATGATTCTTATATATTTACATATCTAACATCTAAATTTTAATATTTATTTACATAACACTTTAGTGTCTCAATCAAATTAAAATATATGCATGAAAATATAAATTTCCTTTTAAAAATATTAATATTGTGTGTCGAAGCATTTGCGTCAATAGAGAGATAGAATTTAACGTCCTGACTTTAAACGAAGATAAAAAAACACTTACAAATAGGGGAGAGAGGTGGAGTAATCATAAGAGACATCAAAATTGTTAAGTGAAAAACCCTAAAAAGGGGATAAAATCATGTGGCCTAACCCAATTAAAATGAATATATTAGTGTTTGTAGTTGATTATAAATGATGTCTTTCGTCGAGGAAATGCATTGGCTTAATATAGCAAATATACATCATATAGAGCACATTACATGATAGGAATTGAAAGAATCAAGTGATATGAGAGTTGTTCTTAAAAGAGTGTTGGCTTGTTTGTTTGGTTGGTAGGACTATAGTCAGGTGACAGAGGTCAAACAGGCCGTAGTTGGACGATTGAGGCAGAGAGGACTGTTTTCTGGTGATAGAGGTCAGAGGGAATGTAGTCCGCAAGTAACAGTGGTTGCAGAGACCGCAGTCGATAGGCGATGAAAGTGGGAGGGATCGTAAGCGGTTGACAAAGAGGCCGAAGGGATCGTAGTCAACTAATGATGGTAGTTGAAGGAATCATAGTTGGCGAGCGATGGCAGTCGGAAGGATCGTAGTCAGCTAACAACAGTGGTTCGAGGGACCATAGTGGGCGGGCAACGGTTGTTAGAGGGAATGTAGTCGACGGGCAGCAAAGGTTAGAGGGATAGTATTTGGCAAATGAGGGTGGTCAAAGGGACCATAGTCGACAATTGAGGATAGTCGGAGGGATAATAATTGTCGTGCGATGGTGCTTTGATGGATTATAATCGGCACATTAAGGTGGTCAGAGTGACTGTAGTCGGTAGACGATGGTGATCTAGGGGATTGTACTCGGCGGGCGGAAGCCATAGGGATAGTAGTCGATGGGTGATAGAGGATGAAGGGATTGTAGTCGGTAGGTGAGGGAGGTCGAAGGAATAATAGTCAGGCGGGCAACATAGGTTGGAGGGATCGTAGTTGGCAAGTCGGACAATTAAATTATATAAGTTAAAAAACCTTTTATTTTGAAAGTCATTAGAACTTAGAATCAAGGCTGTGAAAACCGGACCGGACAACGAACCGGAAGAGAGAGAGGTTCAAGGTTTGACCGGTTCGACCGGTTGAACCGGGGTCGAACCGGATGATGTAATAAATAATAAAATTATTAAAAATTAATAAAATAAAAATCATATAATATAAGTATATGAGTATTTAATAATATTTATAAAATTTTAAAATATATAATAAAATTTTATACATATAAATATCATTTAAGAATAATATATTTATAAGAATAATACTTAATATAATATATAAATTTATAATATAAAAAATTTCAATTTATTTACTATAAATAGTTTTAAATACATATATTATAGAATGAACATTTTGTTTTGTTTTGTTTTTAATTTTAAATATTTAAAATATATTTAATTTAATATTTGGAGTAAAGTAACCTCGTCTAAGAAATTATTTTTTAAACTAAAAAACACATAAAAAATTCATACAACATTGATACGTCATCATAAAATTATCTTGATCGGGCACGAATCTCGAGGCAAAAAGCTAGCCGGAAACTTCAAAAATTAAATCTGGGATCATCTGAACTTCGATTTAAGGAAACTTATACTCGAACTGATCGTCTCGGAAATACAAACCCAACGACACAAAATTCAGTTCAATCTGAGCCCAAATGAGCCCAAATCGAGCACCCGAAGTCATGTTGGAATGTTCGTACCACAATTTGAGTTACCAAACGGTCTTCGATTTTGACGAGCTTATAGTCGAATCGAGCGGGTCGATGAGACGAATCCAACGAGCCTAAGATCTCCGAATTCCAACATCACTAAGGCCTTCAAATGTCCAACGAATGGTGCACAATCGAAGGATCTAATATCAGCCGTCCATTCAACCACTCCCTATTTGCCCCTAATCTCGCGCCTATTTACAAGCCATGCCACTCCATAAAAACTATAAATAGAGCGCCCATTTCTCATGAGAGGGGGACTCAAGCAAGAAGAAGAAGTGAAGAAGAAGAGAAGGGGAAGGAGAATCAGCTCCTCCTCGACCACCGCCGGAGTTCTTCCCGCCGCCCGAATATGTCGGGATTCTGCCGGATATTCGAGAGAATGCCGGAATTCTTCCCGACTTCCACGGGACGCCAGAATTCTGCCAAAGTTCCATGGATTTCTAAAATTCTTCTCAATTAACAACAGAGTTCCCTCCTAACATCGAAACTCCGCTCAAATGATGCTGAAGTTCTCCTCAGCTGCCAACAGACGTCGGACTTCTACTCGACGTCGGACCTTCACTCTTCGCCAAGTTTCTACCCGACGCCGGACTTCCACCGGTTATCGGACTTTCGCTGGACGTATATCCGAAGATGGATTTCTTTCCATTGTTGGACTTCTACCTGACGCCGTCCTTCTGACCTTCATCGTCAGACACAATCCTTCCAGCCTCCGTCGCAAGACAACGATCCTCCCGATCTTCGTCGCCCAACGACAATGGTCCTTTCAACCTCCGTCGCCAGCCGACTATAGTTCTCCTGACTTACGTCGCCCTCCAACTACAGTCCTTCCGACCTCCATCACCAACTGACTACGGTCCTCCTGACTTACGTCGCCCGCCAACTACAGTCCATCCAACAAAGCGAATACGTCAACAGTGACTCTTTGTATTCCCAACTTGTAATGTACTTCATATAATGTACATCAAACACATGCCTTCCTCAAAGGAAGGGTCTCATTTGTAATCGACTACAATACTAGTGGATTCACTCAAACTGGGCTAGGCCCCGTGGTTTTTTCCCCTTTTTCAGGGGTTTTTCACGTAAAAATCTTGGTGTCTCATAAATGCTAGACCATCTCTCTTGTCTGATTGCGTGCCAGATTTTCGTACAACGCTAAGACGATAAACTTTATATTTCTCTACCGCCACGAATACTCCTGGACGCAACAAATATAAATACAACTAAATTTTTTTACCATTAACTCGTAGAATACTCAAAGCTTTAAATAACAACAAAAATATCACTTTACTAAACTTTCGTTAAAACCTTCTCCTTCCCATGTTGTTCGCCCCATCAATATATTTTCCAATGAGATCCTCACATCTTATTTTTCTTCATCAAACTTCATACAATGTTAATAGTGTGATAAGGTTAATAAATAAATAATTTTAAATATTAAATATATAATAAAATAATTTTATTTATTATGTATTTAAATCTACCTTCAAAATATTACATATCCTTTTTATTTTATCATTTTATGGGTTTCTCCCAAAAGCAACTCAATAATTGCTTATGTAAATAAAAATTATGAGCCTTTTTATTTCAATTATAATAATTTGAAAATATAAATGTTGATGCCATTGGACTAAGTGTCTAACTCATTAATTATGACAAGACTTCTAAAATTCTGAGGCTATGCCTTTCCTATTGGGATAATTGTTTTTTTATTATTTTTTGTGGTAGAAAAAATAGCAGAAAAATAAAATGTGTTTAATTTAAAAAAATTAATTAATTTTTTTTTACTATAAAAATTGTTTTAGAAAAATTGTATAGCAATTTTAATTTAAAAAAAGGTTTAATTAAATCTAACAATATAAATAGAAGCATAAATCACCTAGGCTATTAAAAGTTTGATGGAAGTTACTAGAAAGATATCTTTTTGTTATGTGATAGAAAATTAATGAAGGTTAAATTTGTATTTAATATCTTAGCTTAGTTTAAATATACAGTATATGCACAATTATAAGTTTTAAGTGATGCTATAAATTTATACATGAAAAATTTATAAAGGAAAAAAGAATTACGATTTATTATATCGAATTAGGAGAAAAATACCAGTCGATAGATGTTAGTGTTGTATGAGATTATACGTTGCAGTTCTGCAATGTTGATTGAGTGACATCGTTTGTGCGATAATAATCAGACAATAGTGATCGAGAGCGGTTGGGCGATGATGTCTGGGCAACGAGGGTTGGAAGGTGATAATGTGGTGATGTCAATTAAACTGTGATGATCAGTTAATAGCAGTCAAATGACAATAATAAGGTAATGACTATTGTTAGTAGTGATTATTGGGATCAATTGTTGGGCATGGTGTTGGGGTTACTCAAATATCAAAGTTCTCTTCAACTTTAGGTCCAAACTCTCTTTCATGTGAGGATTGGATGTCAATTTATAATTTTTAGGTTTGCTTTTTATAATTTTAGCCTAAATTTGCTAGCATTCCATCAAACTATCATACTAATTCTCTCAATCATAGATCGTTTATTAGGCATTTAAATGCCTTAATGGAATTGAAATTGAGTGATCTTAAGCTTTTTGAATTCATCTCATTGAGCCACTTATTTTCAACCACATAAAAACTGTATGATTTGAGCTCATTTTGATTTAGATTGGACACTTTATATCATTCACATCTCATCGAAATATTAAGTCTCATGATAAGAAAGCTGAAATCACAATCTGAATGATCCTAAATTTAATTCGAATATTTCTAATTCAGATATTGCACGAGGATTCACTCTTGATCAAATATATTTCTAGTGATGTATAAGTATATTCCAAATTCACGAAAACACAACAAATTCAAAACACACCACGTTACATTCCAACCATACAACCCTACCAAGTGCAAACCCTCACTATCACACAACTCTCCTCAAACACGACGATAATATTTGCAACTACACAAGCCCTGACATGTGAACGATGACTTGTGACCAACTTTCCTCTCCTGTCCAATATATATTTTTTTAATTTTAGGATATTATTAGTTCATTCCAACGAAATATAGGAAATTGGTCCCAATAATTTCCAATATATAACTTTTTGCCCGCGGTTTTTTTTTTTTTTTTTTTGGTTTTTTCTAAAATAAATTGTACTAAGAAGCTGCTTTCTACAATAGCTTTAAAAATTTAATTTTTCTATCATAATCATACAAAGCAGTAAGAAAGCTCTCCCAAAAGAAACCTAGAGCTCCTAGCTAAAGTTTGATTTTAAAGAAGAAGATATTTATTATATCCATAGTAGCTTTAAAAAAATTAATTTTTCAGAATGATAAGTTGAATTATCTTTTAAATAAAAAAAATATCTTGGAACCCCCAAAAAGTTTAATTTAAAAATATTTTTTGAAATAGTATATTATTTTCCTTAGTATTATCTATCATAAAAATAAATAAATAAAACAAAAACCTCAAATGTTTCAATGGCTCAAAGCCATCACTGAAAGTTTTTGGGTCCATAGCTTTACATCACATAGGGTCTGCTTTTTGGAGTCACTAAAAAGATTGATGTAGAGATTAATAAACACAATTAATAATATAATTAAATTTTAATTACATATAAATATAAATATATAATTATTTATTGGTTCCTGAGTCCTGAGCAGTCACAGATTTGCTAGCTGTTCTCCACACCATAATAAAGGATTGCCTGTCATGGATGCAATTAAAACAAATCAAGCCATTTGGATCCAGAAGAGCTCAACAGCTATCAATGTAAAGGGATGGCTTACTACCTTAGATCTTTAGTATTGCATGTTGGGTCCTTATCCTTAACATAATAATAATAATAATACTAAAATTAATAATAATAATAATAATAATAATAAATAGTTTGAATATGCATATATTTATAGTAAAAAAATAAAAAAAATGGCATAGTTTAATAAATCTATAATTGGCTTAAGGCATGGCCTTAACTTGATTCTTGTTGAGTGTATTGAATTAGCTTATCAAGTCTTCGATTCATTAGTAAATGTTGGTGTTGTCTCAAATTTGGCTTGATCATTCACTACAAGAAAATATGTTAATAGCGATAAAAAAAATAGAGAAAAAGGAAATGGTCGCTAAAAGTAATTAAGGCCTCTAAATAATAAGGAAACTTGATATTAGCCATAAAAAAGAATATGTCAGAGGTCCAAGGGGCAAGGGGGCAGCGCCCCCTGGCAGGGTTCGACCAGGGGCGCCTAAGCTCAAGGGGGTTCCGCCCCTATATGTAGCTAACAACAATGAGTTTAACATAATCTTTTCTACGTACTTGTAGTAAAGTGTTGACTCTGTAATGATGCCCCATGTATGAACGTAATGTTATATTGAAATGTGTTTGCAATGTGAATTATGTTTCTTTATTTGGATTGAAAACACCCTTTTTTTTTTTTTTTTTGCTAAAGGATTAGATGAGATCTAAGTACATTAATTATTTAAAAGACACTATAAGTCCTAGCTATTATCACTATTCTTATTGAATATTGTATGTGACATATTCTTTTAGTGAGATCTTGATTATATTCTACATGAAAGTTATGAATTGAATTTTTCATAGGTTTGATAAGCATGAAATTAAATAGGTTGAAGACTATGAACTATAATATTGGACATCTTGAATATTGTGAAAGGATTATGACATCAAGAGATCAAATAATTATATCACTTTTAGACAATTACTACAACATATAGAGATGACCAATATTATTATTAGCATTTCGTGCAACAAGCATGCACCTCTTTATCCTTCCTCTCAAAGTTGAGAATTAGCTACATTCATCATGTGTCGGACATTGCATTACTTCGATACGAATTTTCTCTCCGTGAGAAGAGCGTTTTTAGGTGTTTTTTTCTTAATGATGAGCGCTCTGTTCTACTAGATTAAACAAATAAGATTCATTCGTGATCACCCTTTTGGCAATTAAAGTTCTCCTCGAATCTAAAAAATTATCATTTCTTCATGACACGAGTAACAATTGCATGCCTCAACCACTTGAAAACATGAATACCACATGGAAACTATTTGTAGGGATTGTCGACCACCCCCCAAAGAGTCAATAGGCCAAAAATGACTCTTCGTTCAGCATCCTATCACTATCAATAATAATAAAGATTCACCAACTAGCCGACTACCAAATGCTTGTCATATGAAGTTAGCCCCTTCTTTATTTGTGCTTGTCACATTCTATCCTTTTTATGCTAAGTCGATCAGTCCTCAATCATTTGTAAATCAATCGGTAAAAAACAATAAAAATCACTTAAATCTTTAATGATATCTATATTTTAATAGTCTGCTTTCTTTCTTTCTTTCTCATTTTCAATTTACATGTGAAAACCTTATTGCTGTCAAAAAGTAAGCCGAATCAATGGTTCAATCTCTTCCACTCATTTACAAAATCTTATGCCATGAGGTTTACCAATTTTCTCCTATTACTTTTGAGAATATGCAAAAATCACTTTCAATACATAGTTTTTTTTATTCACATGATTTTTTGTTAGATCCTATTCTATTTATAAAACTAAATAAAAATAAATGATGAAATGTGAAGAAAAATAAGATCACTATCAAATTAATGTTTCTTAAAATGAACTAAAACAATTGAAATCATTAGATTGGATTCATTTTTTTGGGTTCTTTCCAAATAATGCATGGCCCTATTTAGGCCTTTGGTAAACTTATGGAAAAACCAAAAGGGAAAATTCAAGAGAAACTTACTGATTTCTAGCATAGAAAGAAAGAAACAAATAGAGTGGGGACACAACAATTTGGTGATGCCAGTAATTGAGTTTGGTCGGTTAAGCGTCGCTCTTCATCTTCTTTCACTCTTTCCCTTCACTAAAACCCTCTCTCTCTCTCTCTCTCTCTCTCTCTCTCTCTCTCTCTCTCTCAATGAAAACCTTCATCTTATTTCTTATAAACCAGATGCCATCACCTTTTCGCTCCCAATGAGAACTAAACACATACCAAATCTGAAATCTTTTTCTTTCTAAAGCGTATCAGCATCCCCATTGTCCTTTCTCATCTACAAACTCTCTCTGCTCCGTAAGTAAAGCAACCATCTTTCTCATAAACGAGCTCTTATATCTTCAATGGTTATACTCCACTGAGTACCAGAAGCGTCTGCAAGTTACAAAAATCTCACTTTTGCGATAAAAATCGCATCTTTCAGTGTATCGTGATGGCGGAGCAGCTGAGCTCGTCAGAGCAGCGGAGCAGCATATCTTCCCCTTCGTCCTCATCCCCCTCCTCTTCTTCTCCCTCGCCTCCGGGGATCGCCGCCACTGCGGGTGGAAGCAAGAGAACGCGCGAACAGAGCAAGCATCCAGCATACCACGGAGTTCGCATGCGAAACTGGGGGAAATGGGTTTCAGAAATCAGAGAACCGAGGAAAAAGTCAAGGATTTGGCTCGGGACCTTTCCCACCCCAGAAATGGCGGCGCGCGCCCATGACGTGGCGGCTTTGAACATCAAAGGAAGCGCCGCCATTCTCAACTTCCCGGAGCTAGCGGCATCGCTTCCACGTCCGGCGACTCTCTGCCCCCGCGACGTGCAGGCCGCCGCTGCCAAGGCGGCTGCGATGGAGCCTCCGATGGAGGCTGCGCCGCCGTCTCCAGACGAACTCGGGGAAATCGTTGAGCTGCCTCGGCTGGTTGACTTCGTCTTCCATGACACTGTGGTTGACTCTTGCCCCCTGTTTTGGACAGAGAAATCAGAGGACTCTGCTCTGTTTTCCGATTCTGTTTGGCCTCCCAATAACTTTGAAGCTCTGTTATGGAACTACTAAGCTTTCTCTTTCCCTTTCCTCTCTCTATCTGTTAAGGAATTCGAGAGAGAGAGAGGGAGATATTTCAAGAGTTATGGGTTGCTTGGTTTTTTTTGATTTGTGTGAATTCTATGCTGTTTGTGAATTGTGAATATGAATTTGGATTTCTGTTCTCTGTATTTTTATTTCCTTTTTGATCTTTTTATTTCTTTTATAAGATGTGAAAATGGATGCGTTGCCTTTTAGATTATTCATCCCTTGTAAGCAAATTGTAATTTTCAGGCCTTCGCAGTCTTAGGCTTCATTTGGGACGGCTTTTTTATTGCTTTCTAAAACAGAGTTTTAGTACAAATTTTTTTATTTTTGTACTAAAACTCCATTTTGAAAAGCAATGAAAAAGCCGTCCCAAGCGAAGCCTTAGTCTCACCCCCGACCAAAAGCCCTTATGATAAAGACTAAAAACTAGATGTATGGGAACAAATTACCTAAAGAATCATATAATAAAAATATTGAATGGTTCTACAACCCCCCCCCAGCTTAAGGGGGTTCCGCCCCTTTATGCAACTAACAACAATGAGTTTAACATAATATTTTCTATGTACTTGTAGTAAAGTGTTGAGTTTGTAACAATGCCCTAGATATGAACTTAATGTTATAATGAATTGTGTTTGCACTGTGAATTATGTTTCTTTATTGGGATTGAATGGTTCTTCTTTTTCTCGATAAAGGTTTAGTTAATTATTTAAAAGACACTATAAGGCCTAGTTATTATAAGTATTTTTATTGAATATTAGGTGTGATGCATTCTTCTAGTGAGATCTTGATCATATTTCACATGAAAGTTAGGAATTTAAAATTTCATAGGTTTGATAATCATGAAATATGTTGGAGACCACGAACTATAATATGGAGCATCCTGAATATAGTGAAAGGACTCTGACATTGAACGACCAAACAATTATATCACTTTTAAACAATTACTAAAATACATAGAAAAGATTAATACTATTATTAGCATTTCTTGCAACAGACACCTCTTTCTCCTTCCCCTCGAGGGTGAGAATAAGCTACATCCATCATGTGTTGGACATTGCCTTACTTCGAGGATTATTGTAATTCAATCTTACGACATCAAACTTTCTCCCCATGAGAAGAGTATTATTAGAAATTATCTTTCTTAATACTGACCTCTCTATTCTACTAGATTAAACAAATAAGATTCATTTGTGAACACCCTTTTGCCATTCAAAGTTATCTTCGAATCTAAAAAATTATCATTTCTACATGACACAAGTAACCAATGCATGCCTCAACCACTCGAAAGCATGAATATCACATGGATACTATTCGTAGGGATTGTCGACCACCTCCCGTAGAGTCAATAGGCCAAAAATGACTATTCATTTTGCATCTTATCACTATCAAGAATAATAAACATTCACATACTAGTCGATTACCCAATGCTTGTCACATGAAGTTGAGGGTCTCCGAAATGATGCTACTTATGGGGCTCGAATGCAAAGAGTACGACCGCACTATCTCGCAAGACAAAACGATCGTAAGCCTTTACACTCGACACAAGCAGGCCGATGGAAGAGCACATGGAGTAATACATACGATTAGCCATGAAGGATAGTAGCTTTCTCCTACACACTTCGATGTATAATAATATATATAACCTAAAAGTTACAAGATTTCTCCCATTCAATATATCAACTCGAATGTGGTTTATTTGATGTGGGGATCGGTTTCCTACGGGCGCAAGCTCCCTTAGTTAATTACATCCTAAGTCTTGACCTAGGAAGACTCTCGATTAAGGTTGTCATATTATTCTCTTCTTGATTTGGTGAGCAGATAAAATTTCTAAATTCTATTCTGGAGAAAATAAACTCTTCTTTTTATCCTTAGTGATAATTAGACCTTTTCAAATGTTTAAAGATATGATTAATATTTTGAGTTTAGAAATCAAATATCAAATTACTATCATAGGAGAAGTGATAGACTCAAAATACATCAGAAGTGAGAAGACACACCGAGGGGTGTATAATCTGAGCTTTTGCTTGCCTAGAGTGAGCTCCCAGCTAACATCTTAAACACAATCAATCGCCCTATATGTATACAAGATAGAAAGACTCTATCATAAGAAATCAAGAATTTATAGTTCAAAAGGGTTTCAATCAGGGACTATATAATATGTAAAAGAATAAACCTAGCGATGTATGATGCATGAAACATATACAAAATATCCTTATGTCTACTGATAGAATGCTTGTATGTGAGTAAAGTGCACTGTGAAATAAAGTGTGTAAAAATGCATGCATGACATCTATAATATAGAAAAAATAAATAAACTCGTCAGATACCCTCCAATCAAGGTATCTGCATCATAACACAATAAAAATCATCCTAGCGGTGCTCACTTGGTGTGGGAAAATAATGATGCTCATGGCACAATAGGTGGCCTACTCTACATGCCTAAATGACCCTAATGATCTTTAAAGCTCACAAATGGTGGGGGTATCATACCCAAAACCAAAAAAAGCCAAAATCCTAATGATGTCCACTTCGTGTGGAAAAATAATGATGCATATAGAACAATAGGTGGCCTACACTACAGGCTTAAAAGATTATAATGGTCTCTATGGCTCACAAAAGGGGTTCGTTAGTGCACTAACCTATGGCTAGCTACTTAAACATGCTAGAATACCTATTAATAAGATGTGTGTGATGTATAGCAGTTTCGATATGTAATTAGGAGTTTACTTTATAAGTTATAAAAATTATACCTAATAGTGGCGCTGCCACTTAAAAGCATTTAAGCAAATGATGTCGCTTGATTCTTGACCATGCAAGACCCGGTGTACCTCACAAAAAACATATGGAAACTGTTCTCCTCTTCCAAATGACAAAGAGGAGAAGTAGCCTCAATAAAAATATTCCTCTTAGTTAAAGTGTCGGTCAGCTTCAATCCACCCTGAACCAAAAGTCAGACATACGAAGAAAATCGCAAAACTGCATGTTTATGTCAAATGAATCTATACCAGCTCATTAGAGGCCTATCAGCAAAGAAATTACATCTAAAATCTTTAAAACAATGTTTGGCAATGTCTTTCCAGCTTGTTGTATCAGTGTAATCATCCACTACCGAAATATCCATAATATGTTGTCTAATCTTAGTAGGTAATGTGTTAGGCAGACACCAAGAGGTGTTCCAGTAATCTGAGACAAATCCCAGAATGGTAGAATGAGAGGGAAAAATGTCAGTCAAAGAATTTCCATCAAGCCAATGATAAAAAAATAAAAAATCTTACAACAATTCATAACAATAATATGAAATTAAAGATATAAACCTTTTGATTTTAAAGGCCACCCCACATAACATCTTCCAAAATTTAGAGGATTTATTAGAGATAGGCCTCCAAGGGGATTGGTATTTAATTCTAAACCAGTCAAAAACCAGTGAATTAGCATTGAAAAACCTCCACAAGAAAGAGCAGGCAAACCCGTGAGATAGAGAGTTCAAGTCTGGAATTCCCAGGCCTCCAAATTTAGTGGGAAGGCAAGTATTGTTCCAAGCTATAAGATGTAGTTTTTTCCCCTCAATGGAGCTATGAAAAAGAAATCTTGAGCATAGTTTATCAATGTGTTTACAGCAAGATTTAGGTATAATAGCACCCCTAATCCAATAAGCTATGGTGTTGGCAATGACAAAGCTCAAGAATTGAATACGACCTGCAAAAGAAAGAAATTTTACTTTTCAACCAGCAAGTAGAGTAGAGATTCTACTCAGTAGTGGTTGGAAGTGATAGGAATTCAGCTTTTTAGTGGAAATTGGCAACCACAAATATTTGAATGAGTGATCAGTAGGAGATAATCCAATAATGCTGATGATGTCTTGAGCAACAGGGTTATTCTTAGAAAAGAGAATAGAGCATTTCATATTATTAGTGTGGAGATCAGTAGCCATAGTGAAATTACTTAAAATCTTAAAAAGTTCCAGAGCATTAGGAAAATTGGCCAGTCCGAACACCAGGACGTCTTCATCATAAAGAAGATGATTGATAGTGCTTGACCCCATAGGGACCCCCATAAAAGAACTAGAATCCATATAGCAAGAAAAAACATCCATAACAATTGCAAATAAGAGTGGAGATAAAAGGCAACCTTGCCTAAGGCCTGCAGAGGAGGTGAAAAACCCTTCCAGCACACCATTAATGCAAACAAAGAAAGGTACATCCAAGATGCAATTCTTAATCCAGAAAATGAACTTATCAGGAAAACCCTTCTCCCTCATTCTGGAAATAAGGAAGTCCCAAGACATCGAATTAAAAGCTTTACGAATGTCTAACTTAGCATAAAATAGTTTCTTTGCGGGAGATCCATTAAAATCATTTAGAATCTCATTGGCCAGAATATTGTTGTCGGAAAAAATTCACCAGCTTGACTCTTATAAATTATATGAGGCATAACAGCTTTTAGACGATTAGCATGAAATTCTGTTAGAGATGAGATTTGAGAGAAGTAAAACAAATTTTTTTTTTAGGGGGGCACGTGCCCCCAGAGGCCCCCCTTAAATCCTTCGTATCAGCATCCCCATTGCCCTTTCTCATCTAGAAACTCTCTCTGCTCCGTACGTAAAGCAACCATCTTCCTCATAAACGAGCTCTTATATCTTTAATGGTTATCCTCCCCTGAGTACCAGAAGCGTCTGCAAGCTACAAAGATCTCACCTTTGCGATAAAAATCGCATCTTTCAGTGTATCGTGATGGCGGAGCAGCTGAGCTCGTCAGAGCAGCGGAGCAGCATATCTTCCCCTTCCTCTTCCTCTCCCTCCTCTTCTCCCCCCTCGCCTCCGGCGATCTCCGCCACAGCGGATGGAAGCAAGAGAACACGCGAACAGAGCAAGCATCCAGCATACCATGGAGTCCGAATGCGAAACTGGGGAAAATGGGTTTCAGAAATCAGAGAGCCGAGGAAAAAGTCAAGGATTTGGCTCGGGACCTTTCCCACCCCAGAAATGGCGGCGCGCGCGCATGACGTGGCGGCTTTGAGCATCAAAGGAAGCGCCGCCATTCTCAACTTCCCGGAACTAGCGGCATCGCTTCCACGTCCGGCGACTCTCTGCCCCCGCGACGTGCAGGCCGCAGCTGCCAAGGCGGCTGCGATGGAGCCTCCGATGGAGGCTTCACCGCCGTCTCCATACGAACTCGGGGAAATCGTTGAGCTGCCTCGGCTGGTTGACTTAGTTTTCCATGACACTGCGGTTGACTCTTGCCCCCTGTTTTGGGCAGAGAAATCAGAGGACTCTGCTCTGTTTTCCGATTCTGTTTGGCCTCCCAATAATTTTGAAGCTCTCTTATGGAACTACTAAGCTTTCTCTCTCCCTCACTCTCTATCTGTAAAGGAGTTTGAGAGAGAGAGAGGGATTTCAAGAGTTATGGGTTGCTTGGTTTTTTTTGATTTGTGTTAATTCTATGCTGTTTGTGAATTGTGAATATGAATTTGGATTTCTGTTCTCTGTATTTTTCTTTCCTTTTTGATCTTCTTATTTTATTTATAAGATGTGAAAATGGATGCGTTGCCTTTTAGATTATTCATCCATTATAAGCAAATTGTAATTTTCAGGCCTTCTTAGCCTTTAGATTCTCTCTCTCTCTCTCTCTCTCTCTCTCTCTCTCTCTTTCATGAAATTCAGTTACTCATAAAAATGGATATTTTAATAATTTTTTTTTAGTTTGGTACTTTTATGAGAAATACAATAGTATTAAAATTTTATGAGCTAGTACATAACTGAAATTATTTATTAAAAAAAACTAGTTTTGATATTTTGATAGTATGAAGCTAGAGAGATAAATTGGAGAGAGAAATTTGATGGTGTACCTCTTTCTAAAGAGGGATAGAATGAGCATTATATTTATTTCAGTAGTCGTCGAACATAAGTCATCATCCAATACCAGCAATGATGAAAGAGATGACTTTGGAGAATTTGAATTCGGTCAAACACGAGTTGATTCAAATTAAAGTTTTGTTAGTACCTTGGGTTGTACTCTCGCTATTAGTGTTATTCTTTCGTCAATGTTAACATATTTATGATCATGTTGTAATTTGAAGAGTGGAAGACAATTATACTATACTTGCAAAAGCAAAGTGTATGTACTATCAATCTCTTTTGTAAGTGTTATTGTAATGTGAAGAGTGGAAGATAATTATGTTGTATTTGAAAGAGCATACTGTATGTAGTATGTATTATTGTAATGTGATGAGTGGAAATGTAATTGTAAATCAGTATGACATAACAAAATGAATCCATAGGGGTAATGAATGTGCTAACAAAATGGTTCCATTAATGACATTTGTTCGTATGAACAATAAAACACTTTCAAAATATATTCCCAAACAAAAAATTTCAAGAGCAACCCAATTTGATGTAGCATGATTATTTTCAGCTATGTTGACACCAAGACATAGATGCATGTCATCTAACTTCCTAACTTCAAATTAAAAGTCTGATCATCTCTGCATAATGATGCACATACCCTCCAAGGAAACCCTCGAAGTGAGCATGTTGATATAACTTCAGACTTATCACTAGCCTTGGCTTGACCCCAAAGTTATTAGTAATGGCGGTAGATTATAGAAACTACTTGAAACTGATAGCATCATGAAAGCAAAACACCAACTTCTAATACTTTATCATCAATGTTTAATCTTTGAAAATCAATGTTGTTTAAAGCAACATTAATAGCTCTATTGGTGCCAGGACAATGCTCCAAACCTTCTAAGATCATATCAACCTTCATATCATCTTGTAACGTACTCATAGCTTCAACCCGCTGACTTCCTTTACACTGTTCTATAATTTGTTTCACCTCAGCATCACTCAAAATAGCCTTGTAGACTTTTGAGAGAAATAGCACATATGCTATAGTGTAACTTGAAGTCATGGTTAATAAGAAATGGACATATTGCTTCAACCATCTCTTTAAGGAAAAAAATAGTTAATCAAATCATTCTCAAGTTTCATCTTTTTTTATTTCTCACCTTCATATCTTCTTCTCTATTCACCATTAACTTCACTCCAATATCCCCCAAACTTAAATGTAATACAAAGTCATTCACGCTCATTCATTATAATATCCATTTAAGCTTACTCCAACTTACCCAAAATCTTTTAAAAAATAAGGTAGACAACAAAAAATACTAGTAAGAATAACTCAAGAATAAAAGCAGAGAAAAAACATTTAGGGCTTGAATCATGCCTCATGGGAGCAATAGAACGACGAAGAAGGAGCAGTTGGAACTAAGATGGGGTTTAGGGCATGAGAAATAGGGCCAGACGAGTGTTCTCACTCATCAAAAGATGAAGAAGCAGCAAAAGATCGACACACCGCAGACAAAGGAGGCACATTTGGGAGCTCTCACATCCGCCTCAAGGAGACGAAAGAGAGTGGTGGAAATGAGAAATATATAAGTTTTAGATGTAAGATGTGTATTTTAGGAGTTTTAGATGTTAGATATATAAATATGTAAATTTAGAGTGTTATATATATATCCTCACGTGTTAAAATTAATTCTAGATATGAAAAAAATACCCCTTATAAAAATAATTTGGGCTGTGCCCTCAATTTTTCTCGATTATAAAAATCTTGATATAATATTTTCAAAAAAAATCATTTTGATTGAACATTTAAAACTATTAACAGCTTAAGAAAATTTTAACAACTAAATTAAAATTTAGTTTTACCCTAACTAAGCTTACTTCTAATCAAAATTTAATTTTAGGGCAAATCTGTAAATTATCATTCCATTTAAGCTATCTGTACGCCGCAGCTTTTTACTGCTTCTTTGGGTGTATTTCCGTGGAACGGAAGCTCCGTACGTACTATACATCTGCGTGACAGTATCAGTTTTGCCCTCAAATAGACAGCTCATAGGAATTGTTTTTTTTTTTTTTTTTTTTGTGGAATTAATAGGAATTGTCTAATATGCCCTTAAATCAAACGGCTCGTAAGCCATCATTGTCTCAGAGCTTTGTACTATAATTTTTCTAGTATTTATGACCTTACACCTGTCGTCCATAAGAACGAATCTCGTGGCAGCTTTCTCGTCAGTCATCTCTGATCCTACTTTTCTTAGTAGGAGGAAATTTAACGAAGAGTACACAAATAGTGGATTGAGTTCCAAGGCAATTTATGTATGTTTGGTAGGAGAAATTATTCTATGCGTATACCGAATTTTTAGTAAGTCCAGTGTAAGACGTAGAGAAACGTCCGGTCGGAAGCAAAATCTTATCAAAAAATTTGGTATTTGCTCGATATTACTATGTATTATTTGATAATAACGATGAATACCGCTCTGTGAAGATCAATACCGAGTTATACCAAGCAATACCGAGTTGTACCGAGTTTTTTCTATGAAAAACTCGGTACAACTTTTGTATAACTCGGTATTGCTCGGTATAGCTCGGTATAACTCGGTATTGGGTCTTCACGTGATGGTATTCCTCATTATTGTTTGGTATTGATCAGTATTTGCTCGGTATTTCTCATTTTTTGGCGCGATTTGGCCTCCGATCGGACGTTCCTCTACGTCCGGTCGGAGGACGTAATAATTGTTCGTGTATACCGGAGGGTCCGAATGTTAATCAGAATGTGTCGTGTCAAATGGTACATACGGTACTGAGCACCGGTACCTAGCAAAAAAAGTGACATGACATGTTCTGGTTGGACTTCAGACCCTGTCCGGTGTCCGCACAGAATAATTTTTCGTTTGTTGGAGGCTTTACTGCTAATCAAGTGGTTATGAATTTGAAGTTTACATATATGATGAGTGTATGAATTTGACTTAATAGCTCTCAAATGCCTTCAAAAAAAATTTCAAAGACGTTTTGAGATGCAACAACTATTTATGTCAATTTAGATGGTATACTTATTTTGTAATAGTTGTGAGGAATTTCATGATTCATTTATTTAATTTTGATGTAACTTATTACTTTAGTGTTTGTTAAATTTGTTACATTATATAGCTCATCATGATTGTTGGTTGGTTCGGAGCTAGCTTAGACTACCAGTCAAGAGATCTTGAGTTCGAAGCCAAGAGATCTTGAGTTTGAAGCTCGTATATGTGATGCGTGTACGAGTTTGCGTTTAATTAATAAAAAATTTCAAAAAATAATTTATTGCATTGGGACGATATGCTCTTTTGATTTGTTACATTGGGACATTGGGTTCATAAGATTCACTTAATTCTACAATTGCGTGGAGATTAAGGCTTTGTTTGGGACGATTTTTTTACTGATTTCTGAAGTAGCATTTCAGAACAAATTTTTTAAATTTAAAAAATTTTGTACTAAAAACTATTTTAGAAAGCAATAAGAAAGTCGTCTCAAACGAAGCCTAAATATTTCACTAATTAAGCTTTTTTAAAAAAATATAATAAGAGATAATACTTCATAAGAACAAAATCTTATTTTCTTCCACTTCTCTCATTCTCATTATTTTCTTATAGTTGTTGAGCACTTGTAGCCTTTCATTTATTCTGATTTAATTGTAGTAGTATAAGGTTTTAGGTGTGAATTATTAACTCTAAATAAAGCTTTGAGTTCAGAAGATCTATACTAACATGAAAAATTTAATGTAAATGAACATTGAGTTAAGTAGTCATCATATTGAAAAAGCAATTATTACTAAATATTGAATATTTTAAAGCTACCAAATTTGAAAATTATGACAAAATATTATTAAAATTTGGTTAAAAATTTTAGAAGCCATAATTAAAAGAGAATATCACACCTAAAATATGAGAATTTTCACGTGAAAAATCTGATTTTGATAAAAGACGCATTCCTCATAATTAATAAAGACATTAATATAATAAATATTAATCATAAAATATTAAATGAGTAGTAATAATTATGTTTGCTTTGAAGAATTTATTTTTAACAAATTTTAATCATTATTAAAACATAAGTTGACCTAAAAAAAAAACTTTATGTCCTTAATCTTATCCATGCAAATGTCCTAACTAATCCCTTCACTATTTTTAAATAGGAATGTGTACTCTCTAAGTAGTATAAGTTGGAGCTAATGAGCCTGATGAATATATTAATCTGTGGTTAGAGGTGCTTTTGGCTTATTTGCAAGCATGCCTAAGTAGCTAATGAGCTTATTTTGATTCTTATCTCATTGTCAATGGAATCAATTATTATTAGAGAGAATTAATATATTTGAAATGTACCAATATAATTGTATTGACATTCTACTTTTCTATTATTGCTTGTAATAATTAGTGATAATATTTTTTTAATTAGAACCACTTAACCTAATCTAAAACAACAAGAAGATATAGGTTTAGTACCCTATGGCTCACTTTTGTCATTAGTTATTATAATTAATCATTTGTACTTTGTGTGTGTTGCACTAACCATAATTATTTTTTTTATGCTGAAACAAGTTTAATTAAAAGATATTTATTTTACTTGTAAAATTAATATTAACATAAAGTACTAATCATAAGCCAAATGCACTAAAAAAATGGAGCTACTATGCTCTCCTAATAATAAAACTTTGGAGATGAGCTTATGAAGTGAGAAAATGGTGGGCAAATTGAACTAAAAAAATGGAGCTACTAATCAT